CAGTGGTACGGACGCTACTTGATCGTAGGGACAAAATCATAACGGAGAGTGAGGACCGGGAAGCTGAAGCACGCCACATCAAGGATTAACGCACTAGGAAAATGCGGCTACCCCAATTGGACACTCGAAAAAGTGTCCAAGGAGATGAACACATCACGGGAAAAAAACAACATCCCAAAAGAAAACCTCCACGGAGAAACCGAAGGCGATGATCGTCCTACCCTATGTCAGAGGCGTCACGGACGTAGTTCAGCGTCACCTACAAAATGCAGGTGTGGCTTCAACAGTGAGACCGTTTGACTCTAAAACAGCTTTTGGTACACCCTAAGGACAGAACAGATATGCACAACATTACGGACCGTGTCTACAAGATACCATGTGCAATGTGTGAAAAAAGTTACATTGGAGAAACCGGCCGAAAATTTAAAACCCATCTAAAAGAACAAAAAAGGACGGAGACACCGTAGCACCCAAATCGTTCACAAGGGCCCAACGAAAACGGTCGGCTACCAAAATCACCAAATCCGCGATCACTGACCATGTAGCGAAGGACAATCACACCATCGATTGGGAGAATTCGAAGATCATCGATCGCGAGCCAATCAAAATCAGGCGTTGGATTAAGGAAGCCATCTGGATCCGCAAGACCCCAAACATCAACCGGGACGAGGGGGGATACAATTAAGCTTAGTCACGTGTGGACTAAGCTATTGACCACCACACCATCTGGTGGTCAAAACTGATTAACTTCAGTTTGCTTTAAGAAAGCCTCCTGCCAGGAGGCGAAACGTCAGCGGTACGTTTCAAACTTGCACGGTTGAGTAAAATTTAACTTTGTTATTTATATGAATAGATCAAACATGAACATCACTACCGAGCAAAACAATGATAGATCAAATTAATTAGAAATCACATGATTACAACAGTTATAAATTAAATAAATTAATAAGCGTGATATCAATAACACATCAGTTTATGATATCAATTATAATTACTCATTCATTCACTAACTATAAAGCCATTATTATATAATTATCAGTTGTAATTATAAATTAATATTTAACTAGAAAGGGCAGTTGTCGCCAACTACATGTATCCCCCGTGATCTAGTATGAATGAAATATCTCTGTAAGGACGTAGAAGGTAGGTAAAGTTAAATAAGTCACAAAGACAAAGGTTTGTTTCATAACTCATCTGCCTGAGATGTGCAAGTATGTTAAAATTGGTCGCCTTAGGGGTTTTGGTACGCGACACACCTTCTCCCCAAGATGTGTAAGTATACAAAGTTTGCTCGCGCTAGGTCAATTAGGGGCCGAGTTATAAAGCGGAAGGGAAATATGATGAAGGTTAAGGTCAAGGTCAAGGTCAAATAAATGTTGCAGTGACCTGGTTTCGGTACGCGACACCTTCTCCCCAAGATGTGTAAGTATACCAAGTTTGGTCGCGCTATGTCAATTAGGGGCCGAGTTATAGAGCGGAAAAGAAATATGATCAAGATCAAGGGCAAGGTCAAATAAAAGCCGCAGTGACGTGATTTTGGTACGCGACACACATTCTCCCCAAGATGTGTAAGTATACAAAGTTTGGTAGCGCTTGGTCAATTAGGGGTCGAGTTATAGAGCGGAAAGGAAAGTGTCTGCGGCGGACCGAGCGGCGGCGGCTGGACAAACATGAAACCATAGTATCCCCGCCGACTTCGTCGCGGGGGATACAATAATACTAATAGAATACAAGCAATACTAATTAATATTAATAATATGAGATACAAATCGTTATAGTTATCATGAATCAGTGAAACTTCATTTCGACTCGCTCATACGTCTGTCACAAAGGAGAAGCATGATATGATACTTTACCTGCATGACAATGTCCTGAAGACTGTGCTTTAGTGCCTGGTCGAACCCGCACTTCGGCTGGTAGCCACCCGCTGCATACACGGCGCGACTCATGAAGTTCCACGTGAGAACGGATTCGCGCGACCGTGGCCGGAACTTATTCAGCCCCGAGTGCAGCCCGAGCGCATCATCGACGTAGGTGGCGCCACCGGTGCGGTCGCCTAGCAACACGTCCATGTCGCGCACATCACGCTGCAGCAACAGTGTCTTGTGTCGCAGGTCGCGCGTCTTCAGCGCGTGGAAAAACGCGTGAGCGCGGTACAAGTGCGCCGTGACCTTGAACGGGTGCAAGGTCGTCGCCTGGATGACCTCTGGCGTGTAGAGGTCGCCCGTGAACGACTCGCGCTCGTCCTCCTTGCGCTCGGTCGAGTTGTGAAACAGGATCGTCTGCATCTGAAGCCAACACACCAACGTCATGAGCGAGAATACTATAGTCAAGAGAGCCTATAGTCAACAGCAGCAGTAACACAACAACAACAAAAACAAAAGCAACAACAACAACAATAATATTAATAACACAATACAGCATTCTGTTGGTCTATAAACTTTTGACATCACTGCAAAACAATTCACATTGCCCCAGTGTATGCGTGTCTGAAGGTGAATTTTAACGTGTACTAATTCTTGTGACCGGTTTATGGAAGAACTTGGCTTTTACTGAACCTACTATACAGTACTACATTTACTGAACCTACTACATTTACTGAACCTACTACATTTACTGAACCTACTACATTTACTGAATACCTAACTAGTAAGCCTACTACACTCTACTTGAACCTACTCGCCTATCTGGAACAATAAATAAATATCATACTAGAACCCTACTACATTTACAACTACTACACCTACTAACCCTACTCCATTTACTGAACCTTACTACATTTTACTAAACCTAAAATACATTTATTGAACCTACTACACCTACTAAACCTTAATACATTTACTGACCTCTACTACATTTACTAAACCTACATAATATTATTGAAACCTACATAACACCATTACAGAAACCTAATACATCTTACAATAGACAACACCTAACAATACATTACTGAAAAACCTACATTACACCTAACATAACAACAATATACATTTACTGAACCTACTACCTATTACTAAACCTACAATACAATTACCTGAACTACTACAAACCTACATAACCCATTACTACCCTACTGAAACCTAAACTACATTTAACTGAACCTAACTACAACCTACTAACAACCTACTAAATATTTACTGAACCTACTACATTTACTGAACCTACCACATTTATTGAACCTACTACATTTACTAAACCTACTACATTTACTGAACCTACTACACCTACTAACCCTACTACACCTACTGAACCTACTGCATTTACTGAACCTACTACACCTACTAACCCTACTACACCTACTGAACCTACTACATTTACTGAACCTACTATACCACACCTACTGAACCTACTACATTTTAATCACCGGATGGCGGTGAAGCTTTCTTCACACATTGCCCCCAAGACCATCACAATAGCTTCTAACCTAGCGCATTTTTACCTGATCACCTTCCAAATCATCCTGAAACATTCTTTTTAATTTACTTCAGTAACCAGATGTGCAATTGATTATTCCTGCATCCTATAACCCCCAGTTCCCAATTAAGCTAGTTTCGCCTTCACATTTCTGCACATTTCCATATCTTCTCCCAATATACATATATACAGAACGGCCCATAAAATGCCAGACTCTAGCTCAGGGGTTCTTAACATGTGGTCCATGGACCCCTCTGGGGTCCGTGGATGGGCTTCAAGGGGTCCGTGAACCAGGCGCATAAAAATTGTGTGTTTATGTGCTTATGTGCATTTTTCCGGAGGTGGGTCCGTAGCTTTCACCAGATTCTCAAAGGGGTCCATTACTCAAAAGAGGTTAAGAACCACTGCTCTAGCGAAACGCGCCCTACTGAAGCCAAACGGTTGCAAGATGATCTGTGTGCCGACCACACAGCCACCGGGAAACCGGACATCCGTATACTGCCTTGCCCTCTCGACTACACAATGCACGATGTGTTTCGCATCTACGCTGTGTAAACACGTAAAACACACGCTCCATTGGCTATACTCCCGCGTCGCACGTGTACCTCGTTAGGGCGTACACGACGCCGGAGCTGGCGATAAAAAAACGTGATGCTGACAAAAAGACTTCGATCAAAAGAACACGCGTAATGTAAGAGGCTGGCGCGGGAAAAAAACCTCGCGAGTAAACGCACCAATCATAACACGCAGACAATAGGCGCGTTCACACACAAGAAAAACCGGGATGCTAATCGCGATGAAATACCGGGATAAATGTGTCGTTGTTCACACAGGCGAATAATCGCGCTAATCGCCGAGCGGGATAATTCTATTAATAGAACTGCGCATGCTCACTGCCGGAATGATGCTCACTCGCTTGGAATGATGGGATAGAAAATACCGGGATTATTTGCGCGAGCGTTCACACACGCAAATAAAAAAAACTTTTTTTCAAAACACACACCAAAAACACAAGAGTTGTGTCGACA